CTCTCTCTCTCTCTCTCTCTCCCTCCCTCTCTTTCCTGTCTGAGCCTCTTGCCCGAAGCTAGCGTGGGTCTGGAGTTGAGTCGCAGTCCTGGGGCTGCTCCTCGGGGTGGGCCAGGCTACCGTCCTGGGAGGCCGAGTCAGCGCGAGTGTTCCTGGGCAGCAGTCTCTCGGGGGAGCAGGCACCCTGTGCCCTCTGACTTTTCCCAGAGGTCAAGGTGACCTGGACTTCCCAGTTCCTTCACTACCGGGCAGACGGGGCCATTGCAGCCCGACCCCGCCGTGGTTGGGGCAGAAAGCACAGGACAGGGGTGGCCCAGTGCCCACAGCCTGCCCTGGCCAGGACCCTCCCCAGAGGGAGCAGGGTGGGTGGGGGAAACAGCCACAAACCTCACCAGTCAAGGTAGAGAGAGCACCACTGAAACATGGTTAGCCTGCAGGCGTTCAACAGAAAGCCACCCCATGCTCGGGTCCTGCGCCGTGGGCATCGTGGTTGCTACCAGGACCCACCTGTCCATCCTGTTTCCAGGACAGGTGTGGGGGCCACGTCCCTATCCAGCCACAGACCCCCAGGGAGGGCAGAGAAGGGCAGGAAGCCACTGGGCCTGGGCCTTGCCAGGAAGAGGTGCCCAGGGCTTGGCCCACACTGGCCACTCAAGGGTCTGTGCCTGGGCAGCCCCAGCTCAAAAGTCCAGAGACCTCTCAGGTCCGATGCTTTTATAACCCTTTCTTTTTTTGCATTGGGAATTTAAAGCTGAGGTACATGCCCAGCTGTTTTTACTTTGAGCTGGGTCTCATCAAGCAGTTAAAATGCTCATCTTGAGCTTGTGATCCTCCTGCCTCAGCCTCCCAGAGTGCAGGGACTAGAGCTGTGCCCCACCACACTCGGCTCAAAATCCAAAACTTTTGAGGGCCAGCGTGACACTGCATGTGGAAAATCTCGGACCTGATGTCTGTCCTGTGACAGTATGACCCCAGGCTCCGTGCACATGGTATTGAAGACATTGGTGAGTCTTGTGTTAGACTCGGTCCTACCCCGCGTATCTCATTATGTAGACACACATAGTCCAGGATGAGAAACTCCCAACCCAAAAGCGCCTCTGGTCCCAGGTGTTTGGGATAAGGGCTATTCCACCTGTAGTCTTAGGAGCACTGTTTTGTGGAAACTATTGTAGAGCTCTTGGAAAAGCCACGCTCTGGTGGTTTCCTTCCTGTTAATGGAAGATCATCCTCGAAAGGAGACCAGAAGTCCCACGCCCCCCAGCAAATGGGTGGAAGATGAGGCAGGAGGGTGTCAGAGGCCAGTACCCCTCAGGGCTCCCAGGGGCAGACAGCTGAGCTGTGGGAGCTGGGAGCCAGGCCCCCAACTTGAGATCCTCCTGTCTCAGCCTCCCAGGCTGCTGGGGTTGCAGGCATGTCACCACATCCGAGTGGAAGGCAGCCTAATGGTGGTGGTGGAAACCATGCATGGGGAGCTCTGCTTCACGGGGGTAGGGAACCAGAGGATCCCTGGTTCTCTAGGGCTGGGGGCAGGACTCTGAACTGGACTTGAGCCACCAGGCATGGCTTCCCGGCCTTGCTGGTCTGCACAGTGGACAGTGTAGGTCATGGTGCAGGACTCTGGCACATCACCTGCCTAGTCCCAGACCTTCCCAAGCAGCAGCATGCGGTGGAGGGGGTGAGGGGGGCTGTCCTGCCGGTTCCAGGACCAGCCTTTGAGTGTCCGGCCCTGCCGTGTCACTCAGAGCAAGGCTGTAATCTTCTCTGTAGAGCAGATTGCAAAATCCAGGTGGGTTCTCGGTGGTCAGGTGACAGGTGTGTGTGTGTGGGTGTGTACGTGCACGTGCGTATTGTACCCCTGTAGGGCAAGGTCAGGTCTGCAGGTGACACTGCCCGCCTCCTAGGAGCCGCCTCTAGAGGGTGCTGTGTGGAAGCCACACCACTACTCCGAATCCTGGAGAGGGTTATTGTTGTCTTTATTTAAAGTAAACCAAGCCAGGTCACAAGGGGTCCTTGTGCTGCTGGGGTCACGGTAACCATCACAGAAGACTCGGAGCCACAAGCCCGACAGACCAGCGCAGCCCTGTACACGGCCATCTGCCCGTAACAGCCAGTTCAACCGGCTGGATGCCACTCTTGTATTGATCCTGTGGCCAAGGATTATAGTTTCAAGAGATCCGATGTGGTCTTCTTGGTGCTGCCTTTAAAGACTTCCCCTTGCTCGACCTTCTGGAAGATGCTCTTAGTTTCCTGTGCTCCGTTGCGGTGCCCAGACAGATGTCCTGGTCCCGGGGAGGCCGTCCCTGTCTTCCCAGGCTGACAGTGGCCTAGCCGAACACGGCAGAGATGAGGAGATAAAGCAGGACAAGGCGCACAGCCCGGGCCTGGGGGGCGTGGGGGAGGGAGTGCGGCAGGCAGGAGGCCAGCTCGAGGTCACAGGTGGTCAGGAAGCCAGGGCTGGGACCGTGGAGGGGACAGCGGATGCTCCAGGCCCCAGGGCGCATCCAGTGTTGGCTGCTGGTGGCTGTCATGGCCAGGTGTCCCCTGCTGAGTTCCAGTCCCACCTGCTGGGTCCCCGGCCTTGGGTCCACTTGGAGCACTGGTGACTGAGGCTTCTCTCCCTGGCTCCTCCCTGGGGGGCATCTGGGCTCCTCCTCCTGTCTCCCTGGATCTGCCTGAGGGTCCCTTGTGCTAGACAGGGAGCAGGTCTGAGAGGACAGTTCAGAGCGGGGAGGGGAGGCCCCAGAGGCGCGGGAGAGTAGGAGCCGAGGTCCCCCACAGGTGCCTCCTGTG